TATATATATATAGATATATATATATATAGATATATATATAGATATATATATATATATATATATATATATATATATATATATATATATATATATATATATATATATATATATATATATATATACATATATATATATATATATATATATATATATATATATATATATACATATATATATATATATATATATATATATATATATATATATATACATCTATATATATATATATATATATATATATATATATATATATATATATATATATTACAATTATTTATATAACCGATTATATATATATATATATATATATAATATTTATATATATATATTTATTTATATGTATATGCTAGTATCAATCAATCAATCTTCGTTATGCGTCCAGAGACCTGGTTCCCCGAGGTGGACGTTGTTTTCTTTGCCATCAACTTTTTGCGCCAAATTAGACGCCAGTTGTATCCATTTCATTTAAATTTAGAGCTTTCATGTCTTGCTCGATTGTTTGCGACCAGGACTTCTTTGGACGGCCTTTGAGACGTGTGCCAGGTACTTCAACATCTGCATGAGAAGTTATGGCACTGTTTCCACATCGTTTGACATGGCCAAACCACCGCAGACCGTGTTGCCGGCATTCGTTCTTTATATCATCTAAACCAGCACGACGCACGATTTCGGTAGATTTGATGTGGTCCTTCAGACTAATTCGTTGCATCCATCGGAGCATTTTTATGTCGGTTCGTTGAAGTTGTTGTTCCAGTTTGGTTGTCATTGGCCATGTTTCTGCACCATATAACAACACCGGACGTATCACAGATTTATAAAGTCTTGATCGTAGTGGTAGTGGCATGTCACGCCGCATCAATATAGAGGCAAGGAGATGCCATTTATTCCAGGCTGCACGTATGCGTGCTCGAACGGCAGCTTCAGCTGTTCCAGTACAATCCAGAACATCCCCTAGATATTGAAACGATGAGACTTTCTCTACCTTAATGGCTTCAAAAACAGTGCTATTTCGAATTTGTTGTTGTGGATTGTAGGACAAAGCAAGTAGGACAAGCAAAATTGGACACTTTAGATAAAGTACCAATTATTTTTTAACAACGTTTGTTCACAAAAAAAACAACAATTAATGCAGTAATTTATGAAATCTACCGATTTTCTAGCGTTGGGTAGATTTTTATTACATTTCTCAATAATTCTAATAAAATTCTTGTCGTCATTATTTATTTTATTAAAGTTAGAATAATATACATTGTGCATTACAGGAGATCAGATTGAAGGGAGAGGGTACAAGGTTTGTGGGAGATAAAGGTAGAAGGTATAAGTTGTGGTGGAAGGTTGGTGTGATGGTAAGAGAAGAGTTGGTGGAGAAGGTGTTGGAAGTGAGGCGGAAAAGCAATGGTGTAATTGTGGTGGTGATGGTGCTTGGAAAGGTAATAGTGAGGGTAATATCAGGATATGCTCCGTAACAAAGTAGGAAGGAAGAGAAGAAGGGTAGGTTTTAGGATGATGTTTCTGACGAGATTGGGCAAGCGGGGTTGGATGAGTTTGTGGTGTTGTTGGGTGATTTGAATGCAGACGGATATGAAAGTGTACATGGGGGATGGGGATATGGTATACGGAATGAGGAAGGGCGTATAGTGTTGGAGTTGGCGGATGCACATAGCATGGTGGTGGGGAATATCTGGTTTACAAGGGAACCAGCACGATTAATTACATATAGGTCAGAAAAACATAGGTCAATGATAGATTAAATATTGATAAGGGCGAAGCATAGAAAGTATGTAAGAAATGTGAAGGCGATACCTGGTGTGTTGCAGCATAGTATGGTTGTGATGGATGTGGAATCAAAAAAAATGGGGAGGAGGAAGAAGGATAAATTTGTGGCCAAGAGGAAAACATGGAAGTTTCCGGATGCAGATGTGAGGAAGGCATTTGAAGTGAAGGTGGCTGAAAGTTGAGAGTGGTAAGGATGGAGATGTTTGAGAGAGATATAGAGACTGTGTGTTGAATTCCGCAGATAAAGTAAAGTGGTTGAACGAAGGGAAAGTGTAGGCATAGTAAGAGTTGGTGGTGGATGAAGATATTAAAAAAGGTTTGGAGGATCAAGAAGAAAAGTTTTAGGGTGTGAGAAGGGGCAAGATTGGGGAAAGCGGAGTTGGGTTATAGGAAGGCTAAAAAGGTTGCAAAACGGGCAGTGACAACTCCTATGACGAAAGCATCAGATAGTTTAATGAGGGAAATGGAATTGGATGGAATTCGGAGAAAATGGTTCGTTCAAAGTAGCAAAGCAGTCAATGAGGAAAGGGAAAGATTTTATAGGAATGGATTTGGGTAAGTTTGGGATGGACCCTGGCAGGTTGTGTATAGATAAGAAGGAAAAAGCTCAGGGGGGGAAGGCTCATATGGAAAGGTTGATGAATGGAAAAAATGAGTGGGATGGAGATGTGGAATCCGTAGTCACACACGAACCCATAGAGAAGTTGACGATGGAGGAAGTAGACAAAGCAGTTAGAGAAATGAAACTAGGTAAGGCGACAGGGATTTTGGAAGTGGCGGCGGAACATATAAAGGCGAGTGAGATGAAAGGAATTGAAGTTATGATGCAAATTGCTAACAGTATGTTTGATGATGAAGGTATACCTAAGGATTGGCGAAGGTATACCTAAAGATTGGCGACACAGTGTGTTGGTGCCGTTGTATAAGAACAAAGGAGATGTGAGAGATTGTGGGTCATATAGGGGTGTGAAATTGCTAGAGCATGGAATGTAGGTAGTGGAGAGAGTGCTTGAGAGGAGGTTAAGAAATATGGTGACAGTTAATGAAATGCAGTGTGGGTTTATGCCTGGTAGGGGAACGGTGGATGCGTTGTTCATAGTGAGAATGTTGCAGGAGAATTATAGAAAGAAGAAACGAAGATTGTACATGTGTTTTTTGGATCTAGAAAAGGCTTTTGATCGAGTACCAAGAAAGGTCATTGAATGGGCGTTGAGGAAGAAAGGAGTGAATGAGAGACTTGTTAAAGCTGTGATGCAGCTGTATGAAGGGGCGAAGACAAAGGTGAGGGTCGGAAGAGGGATGTCGGACGCTTTTAGTGTTAAGGTGGGAGTGCATCAAGGATCAGTGTTATCACCGTTTTTGTTTGCAATTATGATGGATGTTGTGTGTGGAAACATAATGGAGGAACTGTTATTTGAGATTTTGTATTTAGTCTTGATGGCTGATAGCATGGAAGAATTGCAGTTAAAATTTGACAGATGGAAAAGTGTTATTGAAAAGAAATGGTTAAAAGTTAATATTGGTAAGACGAAGGTAACGGTGAGTGGGGAAGGTGGGAGCGAGAGGTAAGTAAAATAGACCCCTGTGGGGTATGTGACAGGAGAGTGAAGGCTAACTCGGTATTGTGTATAGGATGTCAGAAGTGGGTGCATAAGAGATGTAGTGGTGTGAGGGGGGCACTGAAAAAGGTGGAAGGCACGTTCAAATGTAAGGAATGTGTTCATGATGTGATTAATAGGACGGACGCAAGGACGGGGTTGAGTGGTGGTTTTGAAAGAGTGGAAAGCTTTGTTTATTTAGGGGTTAAGCTGAACGCGGATGGAGGATGTTTGAGCGCTGTTACAGCTAGAGTTCGTGTGGGATGGATGAAATTTAGGGAACTTGGTGGGGTATTGTGTGGAAAGAAATGGTCAGTGAAGATGAAAGGGAGGGTATATAAAGCATGTGTGAGAGCAGCGATGGTATATGGTGGTGAAACTTGGGTGTTGAGGAGAGAGAAGTGTACTACAGAGGGCTGAAAGAGCTATGTTGAGGATGATGTGTGAGGTTAAAGTGAAAGATAGGAGGAGTAGTAGAGAGCTGATGTCGATGATGGGACTGAATGAGGACATTGTGATATTGTTAAGGAGATCGAGATTGCGGTAGTATGGACATGTGTTGAGAAGGAATGAAAGAGTCGAGATTAGGCGAGCGTTGGAGTTCGAGGTTGAAGGAGTGATAGGAAGGGGTCGTCCGCGATTTGGATGGAGAGAGCAGGTGGAGAAGGACAGAGTGAAAGCGGGGTTGCGTGATATTGAGGCGAGTGACAGATGTGAATGGCGTCGAGGGGTATTTCGGTCTCATCATAGGTAGCCAGACGGCAACCCCCGATCTCGGGAAAAATGTCGTCTAAACGTGTGTTGTTGTTGTTGTAGAATAATATACAGTTTTCCAATTCATTCTCGAGTATATAGGACCTATTTCGATTTTTCAATCATCTTCAGCACTTGTTGCAGTTTATATAGAGAATATGCATAACCCAATACTTTTTGCAGTTTATATAGAGAATTTGTATAACCCAGGCCTTTGTTCCCATGATTTGCAACTATTGTTATTATCAACTTTGTTAATTTTACTATCTTCTTCATTGTTATTATAAATCATATCAATTAATAAAGAAGTTAATAAAATTAACGAAGTCGATAATAAATTCCAGCGACTGGCTGTGACAACTCAATTATTCGGTTTAACTTCATTTGAATCCATTTTGAAGTTGCTAAGATGAGTTGCAAATCCCCAATAGGTTAAAAATATTCATTCAAAAAATTACCGCCAAAACAATAATTTAATAATGATTTTAAAAGTGAGAAATAATATAACAACAACAACAACACACGTTTAGACGACATTTTCCCCGAGATCGGGGGTTGCCGTTTGGCTACCTATGATGAAACCGAAATACCCCTCGACGCCATTCTCCCGGATAGTGAGGGCCATTTTCACTTCTGTCATCATAAGTAATTTATTTGGCTAATTTTTACGCAGGACGCCCTTCCTTACGCAACCACAGTTATAAGCGGTGGGCCTAGCCTTTGATGATCCAACATCACTCACAAGGCAGTGAGGGTCGGTTTAATGTCATAACCAGGACACAAAAAAAAAAAAGTGAGAAATAATATGAAAAATATAAATATTTAAACATATTCAAACAGAAAATCAAATTGAACTAACAAATTTTTCTAGTTTAAAGAGAAGGGAGAACAAAAGAATGAAGACTATACATGTCGTTTTTGTCATCGTATATCTGCAAACAGCAATTAATAGCATTATTTATGAAATGATATTAGGATTATAATTATTGACATCAATTATGTCACATTCATAATCATCATGAAAAGTGCAAAAAATAAAATAAAAAACCCAATTCAAATTTAAATTTATGAGGTTATCAACAGAAAGAGGTAGCAGCAACAAAACTCTAACAGACTGATTGTGATGTATTCAAAACTCCAATTTGAGAGGCCAATGTCAAGGGAGCTGGTGATGCCTGCATGATTATGTGATGTTCGTTTGTGAAAATGTGTGTGAGCCGGTGTTTTGTGGGTGTGTGCGTGTGTGTGTGTTTAATAAGTCATTTGCAAATATATGTAATTTGTATACATATGCAGCATTAACGCTGTTTAAACCAGTGTCGGTGTGAGCATTCTTGTTATTGAAAGTCGGTAAAACTCAGTTGTCGGGCAAGAAAACACCGATTTTATCTATAAAAAAGCACCAAAAGTTGGCGCGATGAGCCAAAAAAAAGTTCGCCGGCTTAATTTTGGCCACACTATCAAACATTTGGTTAACTTCTAGCCCTGCCCATCAAATATCAAAGAATGTCAACATTTTTCAAATTTTGCCCCCCCATCAATTTAGTCTAGATCCACAGATCCGCCAATGTCGGAGTCAGATATTTGTCATCCGACTCCGACTCTGGAAGCGTTATGAATTTGAAATTTTCATGAAAACAAGAATATAAAGTAATTTTACTATGAAAAACAATTAAATTTACGGAGTTATATATTTTTTGTCTGACTCCGACACCCTGGTTTAAACAAGCATACACACACGTATGCAATGTTATAAAAAATATAGAATGGTACGTTAATGAGAAGAACATGAAACAATCATTTATCAACATTTCAATATAATAAATTACATCTATTCATTCATTTTTCATTCATTCATTTATTGAGATAAAATTTAATATATCGAAACTATTTTATAATATCTCCTAAGCAACACAGTGTTCTGACAAATTCATTTTCAGGTTATCTATCCTGTATGTTGATATCATCATTAACATTTTTTATTCACATCTATCAGCTGTCAACTCATATGTTTCATCGTAACTGATGCACATGCATCCAAAATGCAATTTATACACATGCCTCAACAATGCTACTGAAAAACATACCTCAACATATCAATGATGCAACATGCATTAACATGTCATTGGCACACAATTATAAATTGAATAAAATCCAACCAGGTGGAGCAACTCTCTTGATGTACTCAAACCAACTCAGAGTGACTCGTTCCCTTCCTGACTTACAGTAGAGAACCCACCTGACAACAGCAGATATGGAAAACTTTGTGATCAGATGGGTCATTGTTATGGATAGTGGGAATCGAAAGTACTGTTGAATAAAAATTAAACAACATTAGCTGATAATAATTAACAGATACCTTTAAAAAAAATTTTAAACAATTAATATCAGCATTTTTTACTACAAGATTTTACAAAATGATAATTGAATGTTTCAAAAAGTTGAAAAATTTGAAAGTCATATATTCAATCTTTAAAGAAAGGCAGAGAAGCCAAATATTAGTTAAAAATGTCCATGATGTTAAATGTATTTTATAACAACTATCTATAATCATAGTGATTTTTAAAATTAAAACAAAATTTATATGGTGATTTTATAACTAGCCAAGCACACTGCCAAATCATGATTTACAACTTTTTATTAAAAATTATATATAGCAATCAATATCTTATTTTAAAATTAAATTATTAAAATTTTATTGAACTACAAAAAGGGCATGTTACAAAAAATTATAATTTTATAATGTCTAATTACTAAAATAATAAAAAGCCATGTCATAAAAGATAAAAAGAATAATTAACCAAACATGCGCCTAGATTGTAAAGCTAACCTGAATGAAACGCTGGTTGTAAAATGTCAAAGAGATTGAAAACAAATAAAATATAAAAATGAGAAAAACTGTTGACAGCATCCATTTACATCTGTCCGTGACCACACAAGGTCCACACTTGCTGGATGACCTACTGACTGTCTTTGGAAGTATGACTCCTTTAATTTCATTTTTCAACAGCTGATACTTTTTCAAAGTTTTTCCCATAATTTATCAATTTTTATTAACTTTTGAAAAATTCATATTTAATGTTGTAAAGTAAAAGTTGTCTCAGTAATTCAGGTCCTCGCATGAGTGACTATGCTTTTTTATATGGGACTGAATTGCAAATGAATAAATCCGAATTCCGAAAGAAGAAAACTGTTCTTGGACTTTTTGGTCATTTATTTTTCTTTATTAAATGATATACCTGGAAATAATTAATGTAATTAAAAATTAATTATTATATATGGGGTGGTGATGATTTTAAATAAGTTTTTTTATTTTTATTATGAACTGCTGTTGAACTTAACCTGCCACCTGTCTTAACTTGTCAATACTTAATTTAAAATATAATTTTACCTACTTTTCAATTCAACATTTGACAACCACACGATAAGCAAAGTTATAATTTGCACAAATATATATAGACATATAATTATATATAACTTAAAGAAAAAGTTGATATAAAAAACAGGTTAAACAAAAAAACAAAACTTATTCTATACTGCAACACACACGTCAAGCTGATTACGTTGAAATGAGTCCACTTTTAAAAATTGCTTTTTTAAAATGGTATTACACGTTCACCATTCAATCAATATTAGCTGGAGTAGTATTTCAGTGGCTATAAAATACATACACCAAAGGTTTCAAAAGACTTGACATTGGACTAAAAGTCAAACTAGAATCTACAATGATTTGATATATGGTTTTGATATATAGAGCTGTGTCGTGGTCATTAACGAGAACCATGGAAAAAAACCTGAGTGGACATATCAGAAGATTGATATGAATCGGCTACATAAAGATCATATCACGAATAAGAAAATCAGAAAAAGAACAGGGAAGATAAATATTAGCAGTGACAAATCTAGGAAGAAGCTAGTTTTATTAAAAGTCAGAAAAAGACCGTTTTATTCGTAAAATTGACCAAAAGTTGAACGTGATAAGCAAACAAATGTCGTCAGCCACACTAATACCACAAACATTTTGCCCTCCCCCTTCGTGAAAATTTAAACATTTTCAAATTTTTGGTTTCCTCCCACGTCAAGGTTGTCTATCAAGAAGAGAAGGATGAAGTGGGCAGGACATGATGAAGATGGAGGAGTTCGGAACACCTAAAAAATCGGGAAGTATTAACTAGAGGGGAAAAGAATAAATAAAATAAAATCACAAAATGAGATGGAACGAGTGTCTTAGTCAAAATTTGGAAAGAGCTGGGTTATCAATACACCGGATAGTTAGAATACTGGGATAGTTAGAATAACGCTAGGAGATATTGTGAAAGACAGAAACGGATTTACGGATGGTGACAAGTCATTTTGGCCTCTTTGGCTGAAGACAACCGACAAGAGGAAATAAATAATATTTAATCCAATGAAAGATGCCAACCGCAAACGCCCGTCAATAGTATGCTATCAATACTACCAATGAGTGAAAAGTCCGACTAGTCTTTTTAGGCATGGTAAAATTGTTATAAATGAATTATCGTGTTTTTTATTCAATAACAGTTCTAATTTGGATAATATTCGGTTAATTTATATTACTGCGAAAAATTCAACTCAAAAGATATCATTTCTGCTAAAATGTTGTTAATTTATCACCGAGTTAGCTCAGTCGGTCACGATGGTATCGTTCGAATACTGTCCAAAACTCAAAAAACATCATACTCGTATGATACGGTGCTTGGGTATGGGCATGCCTCATAATGTGTATCTGTGTGTGCGTTGTGTGGTGTGGATACTTGAAGAAAACAGCTTTTGTGGCACGAAGATTTCATTATTAGTATAGATAAATAACAATAACATGTAAACAGCTCTGAGTTTGACAGATGCATTTATGAAGAATGAAATTTAAAAAAAAATAGAAAAAATATTTCTGACTTGGAGCAATTAATAACTCTACTTAATGTAATGGATAAACTCAATATTTTATTGGAAGCTTGTTTATTTATTCTTCGGGAAAAACATGAAAGTAAAATTTCGACTCATGTCTATTTTAATTTGAATAAAATACGCGGTTTTAATAATGTTTTAAATCGAAAAATGACCCTAACATACATTATGAAAATAAGAAACAAACAAACAAACATTGTGGACGTTCTAAACTGTCATATGAAAATACCAATTCAAGTTTGCAGAAAGGTAACTCAACTATTGGTGAAATTGCATGAATCCTGCTGTTGCACAAACTAGACAGATTGCGTAGACCGAATGTTGTGAAATACCGCTTGTTGCACAAACTTCATGACCGATAAATAAATTGTATTCCAACTTAACTCAAAGGGAATGAGTGTTATGTTGCACAATTTTTTTTAAAAAGAATTTGGTTATTGCATGTTACTTATTTATTCATGTTGACATTTCACTTTTCTTCGTTTAAATTAAATTGAATTCTTCAATTAAAACCAATAAAGAAAAAAGAAAGGTGTTTGAAAAGACCTAACTATCAATACAAACATTTTTCATTACATGTTAAATAACGCTCGTACGTAACATCAGGGTCCACTTTTACAAAAGTCAGCCTTTTTAAAATTAGGGAAAGAAATCACAGAATCAATCGTTGTCCTCTTCCTTGTCATTTTCATCATCATCCTCTTTTTGGATCTCATCATTATCATTACTATTATCATACTTTTTCTGAATTATGCGCTTTTTAGCTGGAGGATTGACTTTGGTTTTAGTGGAATTTTTTGAAGTTGCTGGGTCTTTGGCTTGAGAACCGTCAGATGCAACCATCGAATCTGATTCAGAAATGTATGAGGCTTTCTCCAATTCATCAATTCATATCTTTATTGCTTTGGCAGCCATGGCTTGATACCTTTCTTTGTTTTTGCATAATTTCCATCTCTTGCCCAGTTCATTGGTAACTTTTGTGAAGGATAAATCTCTGGTTAAATTTTTGGGCGTTTTTCAAATAAAACAGCACCGTCTTTGGTTCGTTGGGATCTTTTGTATGTCTTTATAGTTTTTGTATGCCATCGGTAAGTATAGAGTTAACCATCTCTTCTTGGTACTGCAGTACCATTCAGTCAACCATTCCTAAATTTTAAACTCATGAAAATATTTAAAAAAATGAATAAACTCAACAATTTATTAGAAGTTTGTACATTCATTCTTCGAGAAAAACAAGGAAGTAATATTTTGACCTATGTTTCTTTTAATTGAAATAAAATACCGGGTTTTAATAATGATTTAAATCTAAATTATGACCCTAACATAATTCATGATAATGAGAAACAAACAAACATTGTGGACGTTCTAAATTGTCACATGCAAGTGAATAAATCATTGTTTTTCAACTCAGCTCCGCACAGACAGCAATATCTTAAATTTTAAAAAACCTCTGAGGCAAAAACTTCATAGGCCTATGATACACGAACTCCAGTTAATAAAACCAATGGTAGTGATACCTAAGAATAAATGAGCACGTGTCAATTTTCCTAATACCAGTCAACAAAACATTAAATCAACTGTAATGCATATGATACACGAACTCCAGTTAATAAAACCAATGGTAGTGATACCTAAGAATAAATGAGCACGTGTCAATTTTCCTAATACCAGTCAACAAAACATTAAATCAACTGTAATGCATATGAATTGTCGTAGTTTGAGTGCACATGTCATTTAGACCACATTGTGTTCTAAGTATAAGTATTGTTGTGTTCTAACTTAATGGTTGTGTTATAGTTGTGTCTGCTTTCTTTTAATAGAAATATTGTGAAAAACTTCGATATATTAGTTAACTTTAGCGACGGAATTGAAATTTCAATTGAAATTTCTTGACTAAACGTAGGGTTTTATATTTTTGTTGTTGTAAATGTTGTGTAATCGTAATTATGTCAGTGTCGTATACAATGTTTGAAAAATTTTAGAAGGGCCATAAAGAATTCCCTTCCTGACAGCAGTTTTTCTGTGAGAAATTATATAACGTTAAAACACACCCTCCAGGTCAACATTCAAGTCAATTAGTAAAGTTCAATTCTTATTTGCAGAACCATGTTCTAAATTTGTAAAGCTGGAGAACAAGAATAACTATTTAATTGACAAAACTTTAGTTGACATTTAATATTGACTTTTTCTCAGCAGTAATTTGTTGTCAAAAATTGAGGGCCCGGATATGGTAGGCCCCGGACTCGGAATTTGGTCTAGAATACGATGAAGGGTTAATTCGGCTCAGACTTAACGACATTTTTTCTTCGTTAGTTCATTTTTGACTGTGTCAAAAAGTTTCCATTATTATTATTACTATTAAAATTATTAGTTGTTATAATCATTATATAATTGTAGTTGTTGTAGTGGCGGCAGCAGGAGCAATGGTGGTTAAAATATTTATAAAACAACAACCAGATCAGGTACATCAAGCTAAAGTTGTCGTTTACCTGGAGATTTAATTTCGTTTCGTTGATGTTGATGACACCATCAGATTGGATTGGAGCGAAGATGTCGGAAATGGACGAAATGATGACATCCATATACATATATATATAGAAAGAATAGAGAATGAAACCGGAATGATGGCATCGCAGAATAACAACATTGTGTAAGTAAATGAAATAAATATACCTGGTTTTTGGTTTCTATAGAATAGAAGTATAGAATGGAATAGAGATAGATAAAATAGAAATAGTACTTGTAGATTAAGTTATAGTATTTTATTTTATGTTAATATTAAATATTAATTGTCCAAAACAAACTTAATTAAATCTAAAATTGTTTTTATTTCTTTAGTTATAAAGTACTAATCACTAACAAATGCGAATAAAAAATATAATTTATGTTACAATAATATTAAAATATTTAATATTCTTTTGTCAATAATTAATAATTTGATAAGTATGAATGTTGTTAAGTGTTGTTATGAGATGACTAAATATTTTAGATAATAAAATTAAAAAGCCAATTATAGTAATCAAAGTTGAACTAATTTAAAAAAATAAAGATTTTACATTAACATTTAGATTCAGAAATCACTTTAGTTTAGCAATGCTGTTATATAACATTATTTATAACTATGTATATATTAATTAAATTAAATCTAATTAAATTAAAACTTATGAATGGGTCATTTAAAATAATCTACATATTAACTTAGATAAAATTTATTTTATTTTATTTGTCCCTAAAATTAGAACTGATATTGTTTTTCCTATTGTTTTTAAATGACTGCAGTTCATTCATTCAAACCTTCTGTATTTTTGTCTCTTATAACTTGCTTTGGCTATCTCACATCAAGCATATTTCATTTAATTAAATTATTTAAAAATTTAGGCTTTAATTATTGTTTGAGGTTTAAATTTCCCAAGTTCATTTTGTTTACTCTTTTCAACTTTTTTGTATTTCCTTATATGACTTATTGCATTTCTATATAGGGCTCAGCTCCTAAATCTAATCTTAACATTATTACCTTAGCTCAGAATTTTTTCATTTAAATTCTTTTTAAAGTATACAAATTTGATCATGTCACTTCTTATTATCATTTGGCAAATATTCATAACATTAATCTATTGCATATCAGTTATTTATTATTTCTCTTTATAAAATTTATAAATTAAACTATTGTCCATCTCTTAACGATCAACTTGCTTTGTATAAAAATACTAGGCATGATTTTTTGTGTCATAATCATAATTTCTACTTCTTTAAACCTAGATCTAATTTTTTTCTCAACTCAGCTTTATCTACATCTATGCGCCTTTGGGATACTTCACAAGAGTTACCCTATTTGTGGTCTCTACACAACATCTATTAATCAGCTCCTCTTGTGTCTAATCATGTCAACCTTTATTGATTGTCTTCATTATTTTGAGTTTGAGTTTATTCGTTTTTTTGTCTTTCATTTTGCTGCACATTTAGTAGTTAAGGTGGTCAGCATTGATATCCTTGATCTCCCGTGCATGTTTTGCCAAAGGAAAAATTCAATTACATAAATCTTTCATTATCTAAAGGTGTTTTACCCGAATGTCTAAAAGTAGCAAATGTTTTTCCCTTATATAAAAATGGTCCGCATAAAGGCCTCTTCAGCTATTGTCTTACTTCCATTGTTCTTTTTGAAAAAATAGTTTGTACTCATTTAAAACAGTTTTTTGATGGGCATATTCTTATTAACGCTTACAGAAGTTCTGAAAGCTATGAAGGATGGAAAGGTAGCAGGGCCCTCTGGACTCACAAATGACTTTATAAAAGCATCTGATACTGCAGGCATCCAAACGTTACTACAACTTTGCCGTGAAGTGTGGAAAAATTGCTCAATGCCGACTGAATGGAACTATAGCATGACAGTTCCGCTATACATAGGCAAAGGTGATCCATTGAAATGTTCATCATATCGGGGTATACGTCTGTTAGAACACTCCCTGAAAATTGTCGAGAAAATCATTGATTAACGTCGTGCATCACAATCGGAAATTATCAATTCATTCCAGAATATCTTGTTCGAATTGTGATGGAGATGTATACGAATAATAAGACTCTTGTCAGCACAACGGTCGGAAACACAGATGCATTTGACATCGGCGTTGGAGTTCACCAAGGCTCGATTCTCAGTCCACTGTTATTTATAACTGTGATGGAAAAAATTACAAAGCCGATACGCACTGCTGACATTTGAAATCTAATATATGCTGATGATATCGTTTTAACAGCCACGTCTGAGCAGAATGTAGCACAGATGTTTGAAGATTGAAACACCAGACTGGCCGATCATGGATTCAAAGTCAACATCAGCAAAACCAAAGCAATGAACACTGGTGAACCCATCCAATCCACAGCTAATGGACGATGGCCCTGTTCAGTTTGTAAAGCTGGTGTAGGTAACAATTCAATCAAGTGTCAGCAGTGTAGCCAATGGTGTCACAAACGTTGTTAAAAAATAATTGGTACTTTATCTAAAGTGTCCAACTTTGTTTGTCCTGCTTGCATCAACCCACAACAACAAATTCGAAATAGCAATGTTTTTGAAGCCCTTAAGGTAGAGAAAGTCACATCGTTTCAATGTCTATGGGATGTTCTGGATTGTACAGGAACAGCTGAAGCTGCCGTTCGAGCACGCATACGTGCAGCCTGGAATAAATGGCATTTCCTTGCCTCTATAATGATACGGCGTGACATGCCACTATTATTACGATCAAGACTTTATAAATCTGTGATATGTCCGGTGTTGTTATATGGTGCAGAAACATGGCCAATGACAACCAAACTGGAACAACAACTTCAACGAACTGATATGAAAATGCTCCGATGGATGCAACGAATTAGTCTGAAGGACTACATCAAATCTACCGAAATCCTGCTTCGTGCTGGTTTAGATGATATAAAGGACGAATGCCGGCAACACCGTCTGCGGTGGTTTGGTCATGTCAAACGAAGTGGAAACAGTGCCATAACTTCTCTTGCAGATGTTGAAGTACCTGGCACGCGTCCCAAAGGCCGTCCAAAGAAGTCCTGGTCGCAAACAATTGAGCAAGACATGAAAGCTCTAAATTTAAATGAAATGGATACAACTGATCGTCTAATTTGGCGCAAAAAATTGATGGCAAAGAAAACAACGTCCTACCTCGGAAAACCGGGTCTCTGGACGCTAAACGAAGATTGATTGATTGATATTCTTATTAACGCCAACCAGTACGGTTCTCTAAAAAATTGTCTCACAGAGTTGGCTATTTTAGAGATGAATCAATATGTTATGTAAAATATTAATTCTAAGTTATTTACTATAGGTGTTTTTATAGACATTGCTAAAGCATTCGATACCGTGTGTCATGATGTTTTATTGAATAAACTGCTCAATGCAGGTATGAGAGGAAACGCTTATATATGGTTTGAGAGCTATTTATCCGAAAGGAAACAATACGTATCGCTTGGCGGTTGTAGTTCAACCTTATCTTCAGTAGAATGAGATGTTCCTCAGGGATCAATCTTGGTTCCTCTGTTGTTCATTTTCTTTATTAATGATTTATTTTTATCATCTTTTTTATTAAAGTTTATATTATATGCCGATGATACCGCAATCTTGGCAAGAGGCAAATCTTTGCCTAATTTGGTTTTTCTGTTGAATTATGAACTTTTAAATTTTGCAGCTTGTATGTCAGCAAATGGTTTAAAAATAAATGCTCAAAAGACAAAGTGCATACTATTTGGCCCTAAGATTGTTACAAATCCTATTTCGAAATTTTCATTGTCGGAGAATTAATTCCCAGAACTTCATCCATTAAATTATTGGGTGTAACACTCACTGATAATTTTAGTTGGAAAGAACACGTTATTGAAAATTCTTTAGAACCAACGTATTAATGATATATGTTTAATTGTATTTCATTTTTAATTAGCCCTACAAGCTATGTTTTGGGTTTTAATAATAGGAGGCTAGAATATAATTGATATAAAAAATCTATATAAAAGTTATAGGATAGGTAGGAAAGATAATATAAAATAGATAAAATCCAGAAAAAATCCATTAAATATTAATAATAAACTCACACTCTAACTTCTTACAATATTTGTGTAAATTTTTGTTTATTATTTGAAAGATTAGTATTTTAAAAATTAAATTGATTGGTGTAATCTTTTCAAAGCATAGTTTCAAATTCTAATGATTTACCTTTTAATCTCTACAGAAGTCTAAAAGTTATCATATTAGGAAAAGCATCAGTAGGAAAAACTTCATTTTGTAATCGCTACATAACTCAAACCTTTAGAAGAGAAAAAAGTGTAAGTTTTTAAATTATTTTATTAATCAGCTTTTTAATTTCATCTCCCTGATTGTTTGTGGTTATGAATATTTTCAAGAATTATTGATTAATAATATCATTCCATGATCAAGCTAGTTAATGAAAAAGTTTTGTTTCTCAACAGACAATTGGAGCATCTTTTATTTTAAGAACATGGAACTCCCATAAAATTGCCATTTGGGTAACAACATTATCAATTTCTCAATGAATTTTTTCATTTTAAAATTTTTCATTTAAAAATTGGTTGTTTTTCAATCTGACTTTGTTGTACAAAGGACACATCTGGAGAGGAAAGGTACAGAGGCTTGAGCAAATATTATTGTAGAGGCGCTGGCGGGGTCATCCTTGCATTTGATCTTTCTGATGAACTCAGTTTCGACAGTTTAGAGTTTGTATATTTTTTTAATTGATCAGGAATCATTTAGCTAAAGTAATATTTTTAACGAAATTTAAGCATTTTTTCAAATGTTTGTAAATCTTTTGTTTTGTATCAGACTCTTCAAATTATTCTTGAAGTATTTTAATAATTTTTGAACAAATTTTTAAGCCCTACTAAGTTACCTAAAATTTTGACCAATCAAAGCAATTATAAATATCATTTTATCAGCATTCATTATGTATATTTATTCCTTCATCTTGAGTTTTTTTTATAATTCTCATTTAATTTGTTAAATATTTTTTTTTACAGAAACGAGTTTGTATCTTTGTTAGAATATGCATTGCCTGATAGGGTTTGTGTTGTTGTCGGAACAAAGTTAGATTTGATGAACAATGAAAACACTGCTAATTTAAACAACCTTAAACAAAAAGGTTTAAAATTAGTTGAGAAATTAAACGGGACAAGTGCAAAGTGTGATCAGAAACTTTTATCATTATACTTTGAAACATCCAGTCTAGATGGCACCAATGTTGATAACGTGTTTGAAAAGCTATTTGAAAATTGCTCTGGCATTATCAAAAAATCTGAAAAATGCTATCAATTTGAAAACAGCATAAGTTTAGCGGAGTCAAACAATAATAATAATCAAAACAGATGTGCTTGCTGAATTTTTTTCGAAAAATATGTATGGCTTTATGTTTCAGTGTAGTTTATTTATTCTGCAAATTCTCATTGTGTTTTCGTCCCTGTCATTTAAAAATATTAAAACAGTTTTTTAATTTTTTTTGGTTGTATTTGAAAAGTTTTGAGACAAATAGCTTTTAAAAACTGGAGCGTCTTATTACTCGATTTACTCATTCATTCATTTTCGTAGATTAGATACCGAAATCAAGAGATTTCTGCACATTCCGCCAAATAAAGTTGGTTGATATTTACATGTGCAATATGATAGCGAAGTCACTTGTTCACTTCGCTCAGAGGGTCGTTCTGTTCATCGGCTGATCCGTGCTTAATGACCTTGATGAATTTTCCATAATAGAAATTTCCTTCGTCGATTGGAGCGTAGTGAAATAAATCATCCACCATTTCGTCAGTCCATCTATCACCCATCGTCGTCATCGCCACACGCAGTCGTTCCTCCGGTACACTTCCTGATTATTATTCAACGTTAACAATTTCCGATACTGATACTGGTATATGTTACTAAGCAGTGAAAACATCACAAAATAATTTAGATCTGGTGTATAAGAAAATTAAACCATACCGTTATTTTTCTCGTCGAAACATGCGAATGCGTTGGTGATAACGTCGTCGGGATCGGTACCGTTCAACTTTTCTCCAAAAAGAGTCAGAAACATCGTGAAGTTGATTGGACCTGGAGCTTCCTGGAGCATCGAGTCCAACTGATCGTCCGACGGGTTTTTCCCGAGAGATGTCAGAACTTCAATTAGATCTTCTTTATCTATGAATCCATCTCTGTTTTGATCTATCATGTTGAATGCTTCCTAATAAACGTTATATGCATTTAAATTAAATGTAGTGAAAAGTAATTCAGCTAATTTTAAAGAAATTAAATGTATCATATTCTGCACGAGATGTCATATTTTTGCACGAGATGTTTGTGACAGAAGGTATCATACAAATTATCATTTATGTGAAAATGTGTTTTATCAGAAATTCGGCAAGGTTTGCTAAGATAATTTTATTTGTGAAGAGGCTTAAGAAATAAAAAAATTCTTTTCAAAGATGTCTAAAACGTTCAAGTAAGTTACATGGATGTAATCGGATAGTAGATGTGTTACACACCATCAGACAAATAGGTTAAATGGTTTACCTTGAACTCTTGAATCTGAACTTGATTGAGCATGGAAAAGACGTTACTGGTGTATCTGTGGGCTTTGGTCATGCGACCTCTTTTTTTCGCTTTCGGAGTTGATGTAGACATGTTAATGTTATGGAGCTTGGAAACAAACTCGATCCGAACAATTTAATTAAATTTGACTGCGAGGCTGCAATTACGTTATGTTACGTTAAAAATTACTTATTTATATTAATAAATACACATTGAATATGTGGCTTAAAATTAAAAAAAACTTCAATAACTTACCAAATCACTACAAGGGTGTGCTTATTTATATAACTTTCAGTTAGCATTGCTGCCTCTGGCGTGGTGACTCATCCTGCACGTTGTATGTGCGTTGTATGAAAACGTGGAAATGTTTATGTATGAGCACGGGAATCTCATCAGAGATGTATCGCTATCTCTAATCACGTGTACGTTCATTGTATATGTTTGTACTAGCTTATTTGTACAATTGTGTAGAAAAGTTGTTTTTAAGTGGCTATGAATGAACAACAACACCGCATTTCTCATTTTTTAAATGATGTTCGTTCATTAACCCATATTATAAAGCTGCTATTAATATTAATAAAGTTAATCTACACTTCAAAAATGCTTGCGAACCCATAAATGTGCAAAGATGTGGTTGAGTTATTAATGTTAAAACAGTGACATCTACCTACTTTTATTAAAGTTAAACAGAAGATGGAGGAAATTAATTTTTTAAATATAGGAAATTAAAGTATATTTCAATTACCTTTATTTTTTGAGGAAATTGTAAATTAGCATGTTAGTATTTACAACTTAGTATGTTATTCTGACTAAACTACTCTATTCGTAGCATTGTCTCAATTTTTCGTTGGTTTAGCTAGAACTCGTTTGATGAGGCAAAAACTGTATGCACTAGGTTCAAACACAATTTTTTTTGAAAGGATGCTCGTATGGTTAATATTACAAACAAAAATATTGGTTTTGTGCACATTTTTATCAAATTAATTATTTCCCAGACGTCATTCTAGTTCAACGAGTGACGGAAACTATTGAAAACCAATTCCAAAGTTGATCGAAACTTTTTACAAATTCTGAGCGGCATCGGCCTGTTTGATTTCCGCTCCTGCTTTTACTGTTCAGCTGAGTTTTTAAGATGTCCGAGCTCTGTAGTTTACTGTTTTTGATTTTTGGTTATTATATTGGATCAAAATTTGAAATAATCAGATTCAGTACATTAATCGCCGTTAAAGGTTTGAAATATCTGTATAATCACTAGAAAAACTTGTTTACAAGTTGGGAGGCCCTGGAGCAATAAAAAAGAGATACATAATTTACATCTCAATAACTAGTTTCGTAAAGTTTTTTTAGTTTTATTTTTAACAATTTCTTCATCCAGACCAATACTTTTTATGGAACATTACGTTGTTGAAACATCATTGTTTTTACGGAGGCCCTATTTTAATGTTTAAATTAGGTTTTGTTCTTGTGGAGACTACGGGCAACAGCCTGCCTTCAATCAATCCGGCTGTGATTAACAGTGTACATAAATTTTTCAGAGCTTGAAAGTGATGTTTTTAAAGTGGAATCTACAGAGTAAACATTGAAAAAATGTGAAATTTTTCAGTAAGTTTGGCAAAAAATTAGTGAATGTGAAGGAATAGATTAAGAAACAATGGGAAATGTAAATAATTTTAATCTTGCAAAGCCTTATTAACAGAGTAGTATCACATATACGCGTACACGTATGCTGAGTATATATACGCGTATATGTACACGCGTTTGTTTGTATACGCGCGTGAATATGCTTATTTGATAAGCACAATCAGTTTTTGAAATATACATAAACTGTCTTCATCTCTAAAGTATAAGCCGTTCAAAATAGTTAATTCTTGTAAATTTAGTAATTTATAAGTTATTTTAATATGCCGGTTAATGCCAATTTTATTTTATTTGTTTCAAACCAATTATCAAGTTACAAATTTTCGGTTCCAAACAATTAAAAAGTAATATTACTATCGAATTGATAGTGAAGGATGTGATACTTTTTAGGACACGTCCTAGAGTTCAGTCATTCAAGCTTGAAACATCCATTGAAATCTGGTTACTTTATTCCATATATTAAGCATCATGTTTTGTTAGTTTAGTACATGATGCATAAATAAGTAAAGGGAAAACCGAATTCAAGAAATAATTTTATTTTTCTTTGGTTTTTGAAAAAAGTATGAGTTCAATTTTTGTTTGAGTTCAAAAAAAATTAGCTGTAATTTTAGTTGTAGTAAACATTAATTTGATAATTCTAGTTACTTATATATTTCTACCACTTGAGTTTTTTTTTTATGTCGTAAGCAACTTGAAATTCAAACTTCTTCAAATGTTTGTTCAACCGATTAGACAGCCACTCAGAGCTGCACGATTCTTTACGCAAGGGCATCTAACTAATGTAGAATTGTTGCAATAAACGCTAAGACCCAAAATGTAATGTTTTTAGACAAATTCATTCATGTAACCGTAACTACCTCGTTGAACCATTTATAAATTCAAACAAATATATAACGTAGTAAAACAAAGTTGAAGGATATTCTTTTAAATTAACGCGTAACACTAAGAGTATGTACTATATATATATATATATATATATATATATATATATATAGTGATTTTCTTATTTGTGATTAGTCCTACCGACTAACAAAGTCAGAATTCGAATAAATATTATATATATATATATATTTATATATATATATAAATATATATAATATATATATATATTATATATATATGCACAAATTTTGATTTCCGCGTGCCTTTGTCGGTTTGTTGTGTCGGTTCGTTCGTTCAACGATTGATTGTCAGAAGTCACGAAACTTTTAAATATAAAGTATTATATACATATATAAAGTATTATATATATATATATATATATATAGGCGCTATACAAATGCATTTAATAATAATAATATATGTGTGTGTGTGTGTGTAATATCTAATCACGTTACATTAAAATACGTTTGGTGATGTCATGCAATTTCGCAAAGTTATTTTAGGTAAGCAACATGCATTTACATTAACAATTTTGTTTTTAATAGACAGGTGTTTACCAACATGTTCTCCTCATAGCACATATTTTATAAAGGATATTTTAACTCTTTCTTAATTAATTCATTTGTTTATTCATTCGCATTTATTCGTATAAAATCAAAGTCGTTGCTTAATTCCTGTGAATTCTTTCTTATTCTTTAGCTACTGTCTTTCATTCAATTGTTTACTGGATGTCGCATTTTTGCCTGTTATTAGCTGCCTATTATATTAACAACCAGGTTAATCCATTTCAGTTTTTAATGTGATTATTTACTTGAAAGAAAATTTTAATGTAAAATTAAAGATTGGATGTTGTTATAAATATATATTTTTTTTGCAATTAGGCTACTGAATGGCAATTTTATTGTTGTGCAATAAATATGAAAATATTTTAATTTTGATATTTCTAGTTCGTTTGTAAATGTTTAGACTTTTGAAAAAGTTATATTAATTTATGTAAGTAAACATGTTTAGTAGCGGCAAACCAAATTATGAAAAACTTTCAGCTAATTTACGTCTAGCTATAAACAGATTGAAATTGTTAGAAAAGAAAAAAACAGAGATAGCCATAAAATCGAGGAAGGAAATAGCAGATTTCATTCGAAATGGAAAAATTGAGAGAGCCAGGATAAGAGTTGAAAGCATAATCAGAGAAGATTTAACGGTGGAAGCTATGGAGATGGTTGAAATGTATTGTGATCTTCTTTTGTCCAGAATGGCTCAAATCAAATCAACCAAGTTAGTTTACGAAATATTTTTGTATCTGCCGGAATGGTGTTATTACGCTATATAATTAACTAATTGTTATCTTGTTTTATTTGTTATCTTCGCTATTTGTCAATTATTGTAAATCATAAAATCTTTCCATACCATAGAGGAATGTAAAAAAATCTACTCTAGAGGCTATATAAGAAGCTGCAAATAGTGATGTTAACAGCGAGATTTGAAGAGAAGTCGTAAATGTGATTTATGTAGTTACTTGAATTAATTTAGAGATTTTATTATTGTTGGCATTCAAATGAACGTTCTACAAAGTTTGCGTTTGAAGCAGTTGCGTTAATCTGACTATTGGACATCTTGAACTTACGAAATAACGATAACTTGACGATCGTTGAAAGCTACGACACTGGTGTAAGAAATATAGAAATCTTTGAAGTTATAACATTAGTGTTAAAGTTTACAACATCGGTGCCAGAAATAAGATTTTTGATAGCTTGAAACTTCCTGCAATAAAGAATGCCAGCATTAAAAGAACTTGATACAACAAATCTGTGAAAGGAACTACGAAAATATAACTTCGACTCGAAAAGAGTGAAGGCAGTTTTGATGAACCACCTAAGGGACGTTTTGATAAAAAAGAAATCAAACCTGATGAGTTCGCTTTTTCGACTTTATTGAAGAGTTGAAATTCCAGTTTGCCAAAATTAATAGAAGATTCGATCAACAGGAAGTTGATTCAAATCATCTCGATAGATTATCGAGATGATTGACCTGCAATCAAAAGACTTCGAAACAAAACTAGACAACATATATGACGAAATAAACAAGAAGATAGGACAACAAACAAGAGAAGTCAAAGGAGTATTAAGAGGACGAATCAAGCAGCTGAATAGTAAAAACAAACGCGTCCAAGTGACAAACGAAAACAACACAGAAATAAATTTGGACAGCAAACCGGAGAAACGAAAATTGTGCTTGACCGGACCAGCAACAAGTATACAAGATTCTGATCATCAGATAATTCAACTATCAACTAGCTACAATTACCTTAGCGATCGCAAGTCTATCCTTCCTACGGGTAATTTTGTTTGCGATGCAAGTGTTAACTGTGATGCGAGTGACGAGAGCGATACGCATGTTAATTGCGATGCACGTGATAATTGCAATGCACATGACAACTGCGATGCACGTGTTGATATGAAAAAAGGAAGTTGTCATTGTAATGATGAAGACGATGGCGAAGACGACGATGAAGATTTTAAAAATATTGGAGAAGTTGGCGGTGACTTTGATATGCAGTGGGACTACCATTCGGATCTTGTTGTCAATTCGCCTGTTTTCATTGATAACAACGGCAGCAGTAGCAATAATAGCAACAACGATTTCAATGCAACACTCACCAACAATTCAACTTATGATAATTTCGATAAGACGTTAGTCTGTATAAACATGAACCTAAAGGTTAACCATATCAGTGAGGTTGATGTTAATGCTGACGTGAATATTCATTCCAGACAGGAATCGGTGACAGATGATAGCTCAAGTTTTGAGTACGAGCTTGAGATGAAAGTTTGATCCTTGTCTATTTGGAGGATGACATCAACAACGGCTTCATTTCTGATGAGGATGAGTTTGATGATGACCATACATGCATTTTACAACATGCCTGTATGGTCATTCTACATCTCGTAAACTCAATAGAAAAAAAACAAGTGCTAACAAAATAAGGAAAAAACCACGACGGCTACCTATGGCTCAAGGAACTGAAACAACGAAAACTTGGCATGACATTTAAAGAAATAACGCACGTTTCAAGAGCAAAAACCTGGTCTGGTTGTACAACCTACGGCGAAGAAAAAGGAGATACGCGGCAAACTCTCAAGGAATTAGAAATATTGGAACAAGGTCATTAACAAGACAAATGACGTGATCTACAGGAGTTATAATCACGAAAGACAACGAGCGAAAAAGACGTCCACATGAATAGATTATCACCTATTCATTGGAATAAAGAAGTAACGCCTATGCTAACAGGCTAAGATGAGTGTAATGTTATACCCGCCGGAATGATGAAATACGCTATATAATTAATTAATTGCTGTCTTGTTATATTTGTTATCTTCGCTATTTATCATCGATTGTAAACCATAAAATCTTTTTATACCGCAGAGGATTGTAAAAAATTCTACTGTAAAGGGGTTGCAAACAGCGAGGTTTGAAGAGAAGTCGTAAATGTGATCCATGACATGTAGTTACTTGGATTAGTTTAGTATTTTTATTGCTGTTGGCATTCGAATAAACGTTCAATCAAGTTTGCGTTTAAAGCAGTTGTGTTCATCTATCTGAAATCTTGAGCCTACGAAATAACGATAACTTGATGATCGTTGGAAGCTACCGCACTGGTGATAGGAATATTGAGATCATTGAAGTTATAACAATGGTGTTGGTAGTTACGAGCGTCCAAGTTTATAATAATAATTTTAATCAAACTTGTTTAAAATTATCTCACATTCAAAATATCGTTTAAGCGTTAAGTTTTTATATTATTATATTAAATCGAATATTAGTTTATTTAATTACAAATGTTATTGATAAAGAAGTAAGTGATTTCATGGTTTGGAAAGTAGAAAAAAAGTTTTTACTAATAAAATTTATAGTTTTGCTAAATTTTTCTATTCTAAATCGTTGCATTTCACCATTTTACTTTTGTTCATCACATAACCTAAATTCCAGTTAAAATCAATGCACCTTGATCAAATTATTTTTTATCTTTTTTTTTTTTCTGGGCTCAAACTTTTTATTAGATGATTAATTAAATGAGCGAGTGTCTATGCCCAGAAGATATAAATTAAAATATGGATGACACTGAGGTCACCATCCTTTTCTTGGTTTTACTTGAAATATAGCATAATTTATTTTTAAGAGGTTTGCCAGAAGAAATGAGAATATTACAAATGAATATCACAACAATACATTCTGAACAATTCTTGTTAACAGAGATTTTATTAATCAGTCATTTGGCATTCTAACTTTGAACCTTTCCACATTTACTTTTCTGTTTTCTCTGTCTGCAGCTGACTCTCAACAACTTTTTAAAGTTTTCCGATTCAAAGGATTTTTATGTTTTCCATTGTCTTTTCATTCTATTTTTTCATCATTACTTCCGTTTAAAAATGTTCAACCATTTTTTAGAGTTTTCTGCTTACTTTTTTGTAAATAAGTTTTTTAATCTATCCAGCTCACTTAATTTTATTTGGTTTACTTTATGTGAAAACGTTTACATTTTTGTCTTTAATTCTCTAAATCTGATGTTTTATAGTTCCCCTGAATTTAATCAGCTAATTTATAATTGATTTTTTTAAATTTACAACGGCAATATTCTGGCCACACACTAAATAAACATATATTTATATACACATTTAGTAGCTACAACATAACGCATTATTAGTTTATTTGAACATATTTTTAAAAAGGATGTCTCTGCACCAGGTCTCTGCAACAGAAATTCTGCCACTTTTATAATTCACGACGAATTGACTTAATGTTAATCAATAAAATTTAATGTGAAGTTTAATGTAAATTCAATGAAGAATAATTTGTTAAAATGTTTCAGCAACCTAGACGACGGTATTGAACAGCCAGTGGCCAACTTGCTATGGGCCACAGCAAAATTATCAGAAGTTAGAGAGCTCAACGTCATTTCATCACAGTTGGAAAAAAAATACGGAAAAACATTCAAACAGGCATGCTGTAGCGACCTTTTTGGAACAATCAACAAAAGTTTAATAAAAAAATTAAGCGTTGAGCCACCTTCACGTTTGTTGGTAGAAAAATATTTGGAAGAAGTAGCAAGATCGTACAATGTTCCATACACTCCGATGAGATCAAATTTAATGGGGACAACAAACCGAAGAAATAACTTTGGTGGACGCGTGAGCACTGACACCGAAGGAGGAGTCATTGCAAAAGTAATTTTCTTCAATTATATATATATATATATATATATATATATATATATATATATATATATAACTTGAGAATTGTTTACGACCAACCGTTAGAAAAATCGAAAAATTAAACAAGAAGTTAACTAACACTAACGCCGAACGTGCTGTGTGTGTGTGTGTGGTGTGTGTGTGTATGGTGCATGCGTAAACATATTAATTGTACTTCCTAATATGAAGAATAATTGAATCCGGTTGCAACTATTCCATTTGATAGAATATAACAAACATTTGGCTTATAACATATTTTATAGTTAAATAAAATATGTTAATAGTAAAAAAAAATACGTGCTTCGACCGTTTGGGACAAATTAAACAAAGAAGAGTAAAGTTTCAGAAAAAATGGTTTCAGAAAACAAAATTGACCCCGACGTGATGAACTCATCATTACAGAATGCTTATGATACCGTGTATAGTAGAAGTGGTGGGTTGTAGGTAGCCAAGCACTATTAATATTTTACACACTCACGATTTAAATGATTATATACATTAAAACTAGTAGAAACTAAAGGTCGCTGAAAAAATTGGAATAAACTTCTATGTTTTGTGGTACATTTCAACTCGCAGGATTTTAGTTGAAGTGTCAATTGAAAATTTTATAATAAAAAGTTTGCAAGAAAGCTGAAAAATTATTATTGAAGAAATTGAGTTTTTGTCTATTCAACTGCTGATATTTTCGGGTAACAACAAAGATAATGAATTTTGTAATTTCGTAGACGCTTGCAAATTCATTTTTGATGGTGAATTATTCTTCAGAAGGTCTATTTAAAAATGTAATCTGAATGATTATAAGCCGGAATTAAAGCCTACTCTCAACAAGCCCAGACCAGGCGTTGAACGATAGATATGTTGAACTACGAACAACAATTCCAAGAAACACTATTGGTAATGAAACTAGTCAAGCACTAAAAGATGAACAATCGATGATCTTTTTAGACATAGTTTCAAAAATAAAACTCGATTCTTATTGTTTTTGCTTTACGCGTAAGCAGTGGCGGATCTAGACAACTTTGATGAGGGGGGCCAAAATTTTAAAAATGTTTAAAAATTTAATTTTTTTTCAAATTTGGACAGGGCGACCTAATTTTGATATAAAATGGTGTTTTTCATGCAAAAGCTGAGTTCTTTTAATAAATATACTGCTCACAACTGGGCGATGGTCTCTCCGGCCTTACCCCAAGATTCGCCACTGAATGTATATGTATAATACATATAAATTCAGTGGCGGATCTTGTACATTCAGTACTTTATTTTAATAACGCTCTGAAATTCCCCTGATTGTTATCAGATTTGAGATCTAATGCACCGTCATCCCGGTGTCCACGCAAAACAAAATTCAGTCTTTCACAAAGTTTAATAGTTTCAATAATAGTGTTAAGCAATTTTCTGTTTTGCTCTATTTTTGTGGAAAGAGCGGAGTTTGATAACTCTAAAACATTAGTTTCATTTTTAATCAAACTCAGAAACATTTCTGATTTTTCTGCAGCCTCTCTATCAAAAGATGAGGCTTGATGACAGCGACATTGATCTAAAGCTGATTTATAACGATTTAAAGGGGATATAACATATACTCCGACTGAGCCACATGATGGATGTCGATTAGCATAAAGTACACAAAACTTACAGAATGCTCCTTTTTCAAATCAGAATAAGACAGCCAGGAAAATTAAAATTCTTGAAACCAATGAAATTTAAAAAACCGTTTCCTTTTACCTTCCAACACAAATGAAAATTTATAATTCTCGTCAAGTTTCCATGGATTTTTCAAAAGATCATATCTTAAATTATTCGAAATGCTTGGGATTTCTGCAGTTGCATATTGTCCAATATCTAAAGGCATTGTTTTCTTTGAAAAACTCTGAAACATCAGTCATGCCATCGTTTAAATTTAATGAAAGGCCTTCTTCCAAGACATCAGATTCTATAATGAAAAAAAAGTTGAAATTAAATTTTTTAATTTTCCTACCAGACCTGAATAGTTTAAATACTACAAACTTTATTCAAGTCTAGTCGGGTAATGACTGGTACGCATTAACCTTAACCCAAAAAATGTGTTTATTATTCAGCTTATTGTTAATTTTCTTAGTTGAAAATACAAAATTATTTCATATGCAATTATTGAAATATCTAGGTACTACCATTAACGGCCTCAACTGTATTGAGATCATGGCACTGCTTCTGTTCTTTTGCCGGAGTCGGTGGAAAAAAGTTTAAAATACTACTTTTTTTAAAAGACATTTTTTTTTAATTTTAAAACGAATTCAAAAGCAAACTTATTTTATGAAACACAAAAAAATAATATAAGGCGCGCCAATTCGTAAATGGAATAAAATGTGAACTGCGAACAAAACATAAAATTATGAAAAGTCTAAATAAGTAAAGACTATAATATTTTTTGATTTACTTTTTGTTGATAGTAGTTTTCAATAAAAAAATATACTAAGAAAACATGAATTATTTTTATTTTGTGTCACAAAACACTATTTAAGTTTAAAATATGAATTATATTCTGAAATAAACTTGTATCAAATTTATATAAAAAAATCAGCCATTTTATTGTTAAAAAGAATCGATCTCAAAAATTTTTTTTATTATTTAGCGCTGTCTTGAATTGAACTGATGATGATGGCCCCCCGACCCCTCCCCCTAAATCCGCCACTGCACGTAAGACGTCCTAAAATCTATCGCAAACAATAAATATACTACTAAACCAAAAATTACTGTTCATCCCTGTTCGTCAAAAAACTCGAACATAATGACAAACCTCGCATGTAAAATGTTGTTGAATTTGATATCAGCAACGTCAAGAAATGTCTGGCAAGAAAAATCTTACATGTTGAATTAACGTTCTGCCATCCATTGACCAGGAAAGAAAACGATAATACGTCAGGTGTTGATCAATCGTCAACGTTGTTTCGACTCTGTGTCGATATTAAATTAACAAATTTGATCATCATTGGTGATTCCTGGCCTGAATTTGTTCAGGTCAGAAATTGGAGTTCAGCAGTAGCAACAAACAACCTTAGGTGAAACCATTAACTGGGGACTTGAAAGAGAAGAACGTGACTAGAATAAATTATTTGTGGCATTATTTAGAGCGTTTTTGAAAAACTTTGTTTAAAAAAGTGGCTGTGTAAATGATATTAATACTAATAATATATGTCAGTCCAGACATTTTTAAACACTTAACAGAAATATTGATGAAAGATACATACATAAACTAATTAATCTTCATTTCAGATAGTTGAAGAGAACTTGTCAAAACCAAACAAACGGCTAAGCCTACCAGTGGACAGTACGCCATACTTTCCATCACGACAGTTATCAGAGCCCAACGATCCTGTCAAATGTTCTGATCAATTTTGGAACTTACCAAATGTTCCTGGCGCCACGCACAACAACAGAGCAGGAGTCACTGCTCTTGAACAACTTGAAAAAAGACTTAAAGACTTGAGAACCTCCACAACGAAATAATTTTTTCTTTAACATTCTTCGATAATGGTTATGCTTTTGACTCTTTAATCGGATTTAAAAGTTGATTTGATTTCCAATCAGCTTTAAAAAACTATTTATTTATTTTATTTAAATTCATTCTTAAAAATTTTATGAGGAGTAATTTACATAACCATACGAAAAAAATTGACTAAAACAGTGCATTTTATCATATAAATCTATTGAATAGAAAAAGTAGTTGTTTTTTTATTTAAACTCTAACTCCTTGATACCTTCTTCTTAACTCGTGTTAAACACTCTTTTGCTAAATCTGCGTTTGCTTTTTTTGGCCCTTTTCTCTGGAAGTCTCTACCTACTTCTCTGACTACTTCTCCACCACTTACGAAGTTTAGAATAAATCTCAAGACCCATCCGGTTGCAAAATTCATTGAGGAGCGCTGTTGAACATCGCTGAAATAGTGCTTTATATGCTTATTGATTGATTGACTGACTGACTTACTGACTGACTGACTGACTGACTGACTGACTGACTGACTGACTGACTGACTGACTGACTGACTGACTGACTGACTGACTGACTGACTGACTGACTGACTGACTGACTGACTGACTGACTGACTGACTGACTGACTGACTGACTGACTGACTGACTGACTGACTGACTGACTGACTGACTGACTGACTGACTGACTGACTGACTGACTGACTGACTGACTGACTGACTGACTGACTGACTGACTGACTGACTGATTGATTGAGCAATAGAATATATAGGTATACATGGAGCTACTAATTAGGTTACTCCAATTATTAAAATTTTTATTTGTCTTAACCATTTAATAGCACTAAATCTTCTTTATGCAATTATCTTTCTGATTAAGCATTTTCAGCAAAGATTTCAAAGCCAAGAAATCGGAATGACAAGTGAACTGTAAGTTTTAGAAAACATTTGAGAGATAAATCAGGTAAGAGTAGGTGTCGGCAATTTGTATATGAAAGTAGTTAATTGATAGTATCACCAGAAAAAATACTTATATTGTTTTTTAATAAGATGTTGGACGTAGGAGTTTAAACAATAAGCAGTAAAATAAAAGGTTTAAACAATATTATCATCGGAGTATAACGACGTATTTGGGTTTCCATAATAAATAGCAGAGGCGTAAGCAGAAAAAAATTTGCTAGGCTTGAGGCTAAATTGAACGAACTGATGGGCAGCATAAAAGATGGTGAATTACGTTTGAAGCAATGTAAAGATTACAACAAGCGCATACATTTGGTAGTGGGATAAATTTAAACGAAATCAAACATTTGGATAAAATAAAATACGTAATAACCCGATATAATTATAAATTAAAATTTTTAGTTAGTATGTTATCTTGTTGTGTGTTTGAGTTTTATCAACGCAGCGTGATCCAAAAATGTATTGCAATAGCAATAAATTTTTGGATCGCAATAGCAATGTATTGCAATAGCAATGTTTAACTTCGTAAAGGTGTTTCTTGAACTCTCCATAGCTTCTAGGGTACTTCTAACATTACCCAGTCATAATTGGAAAGAAATGTTTTAAGCTTAAAACAATAAAATCAAATCTGAGATCCCAAATTTATCTATATTGTTTAATAAGAAAAACAAATTGCCGATCTATTGAAGGAGGATGAATAGGCAAATAAAATTTTTAGGTCAAAAGGTATTCTGATCATGACCTGGTTAAAACATCTTTTCCTGTAAAACTCAACCATGTTTGGTCCGTTCGTAGAAGCGCGTTGACTAATCATTTTGTCCACATTAATATTAAATTCGCCAATTAGCAGGCAACTTGCGCCTCTGAAGATAACTTAACAGAAGCGCTCTACAAATCTACAATGCAATACAATTCAATGTAATTGATCCTAAAGTATTGCTAACTATGTTTGAAAAAGAAGTAAAGATGTAAGAACTGTTGTAAAGGCTGTTGCTCCACGAAGATTGTTGATTATCTAATAATAGCAATAATAACAATAATAATAATAACAATATTATTATTATTGTTAAAGTATTAATAACCACAAAGAACAATTATTAGCTCATACCATAAGTTAAGTAAGTGATGAAAAATTCTTCAAAACTCGTGAAAACTTAAACGAAACCTCAAAAACACGATTTAACATGTGAAAAAGAATGACGGTGTAGTAAATCAAACATAAAACATAATATAAATCAAGTTAGGCCAGTTATGCGAATCAAAACAAAGTTATTGAAGGTAAAAATTTTATTAATAAAAAAATAACAAAATCATTATTTAAGAAAAAATAAAACCAATAATCAACTAGCATTTTTCCAATCATAAACAATTTTAAAAGGAATGTTCCTCCAACATTCATCAAATTAAAAAAAAAAATTTACTGTGGACGAGGCCACCACATTCTCCGGCAAACCATTACACATCTCTTGCTGGAATAAAATATCCTAGGATTTTTGCGGTACTTTTGAGCTTTCAACTTTAAACTGTGCTCATCCTCATGCTTTAAAAGAAGAGGGAGCTAGCATCAACAGGGCTAGACAACATTTTGTATACGTGTGTTCATGTCGCCCCTGTTTCTGCGGTGTGCTAATATCGAGAGATCCAAGTGCTTGAAACAGTTTAAGAGGCGTTTCAATGGGGCTAGAACTGGAAGTATTTACATAGGCTTTATCTTAACCAAATTAATAGAAAAGTGTTTGCCGATTCTATTCTTTAAAAAATATGCTGCTTTTAGTGAAAAAATGATGTTACCGGAAAACTATGGTAGATTCGAGCAAATCAGATCCTTAGGCACTCTGGAAAATCAAAATAAAGTTCCTCTCCAGGATCCATTTTTCTGAGTCATATGATAGGCTGTTAATCCGTGTCCAGACGATTTTTCAGAAACAAAATTAAACAAATTTTTGGGTCAACGCCGTGTTCTAATGAACCAGATTTTCATCGATGTTCTAGTTTAAAATTTTGTTTAACTGGACAGGATTGTTAATGTAATAGATTAGGAGCCATGTTTGTTTACACTCTGCAGTAAACAATTCTAACCTGATGATGTTATAGTTGTTCGATTGTGCTCTGGCATTATAATTGATTTTATTTTTTTTTATATTTGTAATATTTGTACAGCGTTTCAATTGCGTTACTACAATTATTTTAATTTGTCAATATGAAATTGATTCATTTGTCATTATCCGACATGACTGACATGAGTGAAAAAATACTGAACTACTTCATCAGTGCCAGCAGCTGTGATCGTATTAAACTGGTTTGCAGTTTGATTCAACTCTGCCTGCCGTACGAATTGAGATTTGTTGGCGCATGTTTGGAAGATAAAGGTCGAAAAGACGCAAGCATTGAGTTGTTGGATGAAGAAAAAAGAGCCAATAACGTTTTGGATTATGAAAACATTGTTAATAAATTTAGAAACAATAACGATAATTTTTTGTTACTTAACAAACCACTTATTCAAAATTTAATTAAATTTATTTCTTTATTGCATTCATCAAATACCAAATGTGCTGACAAATTGTTTCAAATTATCACAAACATTCACAAAAACATCCTAACTTGCTCGAATGCCTATCAGACCGAGGATGTGGATTTTAAAAATGATGTTTTATTGTTCATGATGTTGGCAGCTTATCATCCATCCTTCATGTTCAAGCAGAGAATTATGCTGTCAAACATGTTGATGGACATTCAGCGAGTGTTCCTAACCATTTCTTATTTTGTAAGTTTACAATTTTATGTTTCTCATATGATGTTCTATTCGCCACACATCAGTCATAATTGTGTTTCTGAGGGAATAATTTAATAAAAATGAAGTCTTATAAAAACATTAATGAATTGAAAAATGAATTTTTTATTGAGCACACAAACACAAATCAGTCTGTAAAATTATCTGATAATTATTGAATTGAACTTCTTTTTAGTTTATTGTTATTGTTAGTTTTAATAAGATAAAATTAATTTTAAAGGTATTGAATTTTAGAAAACAAAAATTGCATTAGCTGAGAAACTAAAAATTTATTTAAAATATTGGACTATTATACTTTTTTTTATTAAAATGAAGAACTCGGTTGTCATTGACCAGTTGTAACTATTTTAGAGTTGGTACCTGTTTAAATCTGTAAATACTTTTTTTTTATGAAAGATGTTTACCACTTTACAGACTCAAAATTTTAAATATTCAAAAGTTGCAAGTGTAATGGGTTTTTATATTTTGAGTCTTAGCATTTCCTTTATTAATGAATAATCATCATATATTTTATTTTTATGTTGATGCTCTGCAATCAGTGTAAAAGTGAATTGTATTTTCAAGTTCGTATTTTAGATTCAAGTAGTACGAAACATGTTTTTCTTAAATTTAGTCTCAAATTGTTTAAAGCTACCCAGTTATAAAGCCCATCAAGCTCTTTATTAAGGACATATATAAAGAGTATCAATATTAGAATTAGAGTGAAGGGTTGTAGCGTTGTCAGCAAAAAGAATTAATTTAAAATGTTGGAAGAATTTACGAAATCATTTCTAAAAATGGGTCCGAGGATTGAACCTTGAGAAACACCTAGATTTAAAGAAAAAGAAGATGAATTTGTGTTATGTATATAACTACATATTGGAATCTATTTAAGAATAATAAGAAAACCAATTGAAGAATTGACATTTCAAATTAGTTTATTGTTTTTTTTTATGGTCAGAGAACAATTTATGCAAGTATTTATTTTCATAAGTTTTACAAAGTTTTGGGACTAAATTTTTTAATTTAACAAAATTCATCTTATCACTTTTTGTACAATTTAACATTTTGTTTTCGATGAAATTACAAGAGATTTTCAACAGTTTTCCTAAGTCAAGTAAGTTGTGCCCTAAAAGAACTGTCAGCACAAAAAATTCATTCATTAACAAATGTTTACATTCAATGGATAAAAAAGAAATTTGGTGAAAAGATCAAGTATATACGATAAGTCACAAGTGCAAGAACGTAGCTGACATGTGAGGATGAGATCTACCTACAAACAGATCTTCTTAATAATGAAATGAATGTTGATGAAGAAACGAGGAATGCTGATGAATTTATGATAAGACGTAGATGATGAATTGAAAAAAGGATGGTTGGTGTTAATAGTTAAAATAATCTTGAATTTGTATGTTGTTTTAATTGGTTGTTCTTAGGCTGAAATGTTATAAATAATAAACCACCATTAATTAGGATAAGATTGTACCTTAAAAAAAACTTTGTATATTTGTATAAATTGCACCAGAATCCTGAAGAAGTTCTCAGCTGTGAAGCTAACGTGGAGAACGAAAATGATGAGGAAAATGTTGATGAGACTGATCACATTGCTGATGTTGATAACATCAACAATTTACATGCAGACCACTATCATCATCATTCATCTAATTTAAATCACAGCAACAGAATGTTCACACATCATCATCATCCTAATTACTTCATTCATCACGAGATATACAATCCATCACTCCATATTGACTTGCCAACTGGAACCTCAGGTAGGAAATTAGTTGAATCAGTTATTTCAACCTTTATCTGAATTTTCAAAATATTTCTCACTATAAATGTAATAACTTTGTTTTTCTGAGCGTTCATGAAAAGCGTAACGTTATTTTAGCATGCTGCGAAATGTCAACATTCATGAAGTAACACATTGTTAAAATTTTATACGTCCTAATTATTTTCTAACTATGATCACCTGTAACGTTTAGTATAACATTCACTATATCATTTGCTTGACTTGTTTGTCTGTTTAGTGAGAATTAATAAAATATTTTTTTAAAAGTAAGCCACATTCTGTTTTCTTATCTCACTGCTACAACACTCTGTTCTGTTTTTTATCAACAGAAGATAAATTAAACATTAAACAATAACATCCTGACGATGATGATGGTGATGATTGTAATGATAATAATAATGATTATGGTGGTGGCTATAGGGATGCAAACGTTGTATCATAGATATTTGCAAAAAAACATCAGTGTGTCGGAACCGAGTGAACAATTTTCGGCTTAGGGTTCCGGGTTCAACTTTTGTATCATTATTTTATCTTTTTATCAGTGCTAAACAAAAAATACTTTACAAAAAATTCTGACTCCGGCCTCTCAAAAAATTCAGACTGCGGCAAAAATTTCAGACTCCGACGCTCTGGTTGACATCCGTACTTTACGAACAACTTTCAAAAACATAGATGACGAAATTAAAACAAAAATCTCAGTACAACAATTAAGTTAACAAAAAATGAAACGCTGCACTTTGGGACTTATTCACCTATAAACAATTAAAAATATCCCAGGCTTGAATGATGATTTTTTATTCTTACTTATAAAGTGAATTCCAAATTCAAACTCCAAATGGACTATTAAGCATTTAAGCTGCATATTTTAACATTTACATAATGTCATAACTATAGCCGTTTTCTTTTAAAAGTTGTAAAGAAGTTATTTAAAATTCTGGTGATACAAATTATTTACATTTTTTAGTTCAACAAGTTATGTGACCAATGGGATAATTAAACCATGGAGAAAACATCCATTATATCATTGCTGGTGTTTTCTAACCGGCCAATGTTTTCTAAAATCCGTGTTTGTCATGGGCGGATCGATGTTTTTAAACATATTTACAGATATCTATGGTTTTTAGATATCATTGTTGCATCTCTAGGCGGTTGTAGGTGCCGTTGGCGTGTATGATGATGGCAACATTGTGTTATTTGTTTCATCTATCTATTTACTCAGGGAAAACAGACTCAAAGATTGTATCATTTGTAACATCATCGCCACCAGAATCTTCTTCATTGATGATCGCGTTATCATCGCCATCATCTCCACCATCGACTTTATTGACAACTTCATTGTTGACCACGTTATCACCATCATCAACATTGCAAACAACGTTTCCATTATCATCACCAACATCCTCATCAGCATCAGCATCATCCTTATTTTTATCCAAATTATCTCCATCCTCAACTACATCATCATCGGCAGCACCACCCAGATCATGTGCAGCAGTTACGACTTCCATTCATAATCTTCGTTCAAGCAGTGAATGTATTATTAATAATGACATCAATTGTAACTTTCTTTTGGGTGAACTTGTTACATCAGCAACTCCATTGCTATCTTCATATCCATCATTTTCATCATCTGCAGTTTTAGCATCGTTATCATCTTCATCATCTACATTGTCTTACATGCCTTCACCAAGCAATGTTCATTCAGTAACTTCAGAAGAAAGAAACATCTCAGCAATACCTCTTTTGAATTTTCAACAGACATCATCTGCACTACAAACTTCTTCAACATCACCTTCTGCAACAAAATCAACAACCACTCCAAAGTTATCACCTACTACTACTACTACTACTACTACTACTACTACTACTACTACTACTACTACTACTACTACTACTACTATTACTACTACTACTACTACTACACCAACTTCATTATTGTTAACATCAGTCCCTTCTTCATCCTCATCTTTGTCACCATCGACCATATCATCTTCTTCACCATCATCTTCATCATCAACAACAGCATCATCATCACATTCTTCAATATTGTTTCTTAACAATCAGTCAGTGTCTTCATGGTTGAAGGAGGTGAGGCTGCACAAATATTCGGACCACCTGTCCAAGTACACCTGGCATCAAGTTCGTCCTCTTACTAGCTTCTCATATTCATTTTGTTCTTAAAGGATGCACTCGATATTTTGTTACAACGTGTACTCTATGAGGAAATGGGTATAAAGAGCTAATTTTAAAAACGTGTAGATGCTTGAGATAGTGTATGACAAACAGGACTGCATTTTAAAGAATAGAACAAAAAATCAAGTTAGATACAACACTGCCCGAAGAGTAGATAACCAAGCAATGCAGTGGATAGTCTGGGTCTGATAAGATGTTGAACAATCCTGAGCGATGCACCATGCAATGGATTATGAAAAGAATTTTTTTTAACATTCGCAAATAATTTTAATATAGACATACATATTACTCTACTAACTGTTAACGTTTTATCGCAGTTATTGAATTTAAAAGAAGAAGATCTCTGCATGCTGACTGTGGGAGCCAAAAAAAAGCTCAACAGTAAAATGCAAATTATCAGGTTTAATAGTTACTCAAATTTTAAATGAATTTAATATCAATGTGTGCGTGCGTTTGTGCCTTGTGCGTGCGTGTGTTTGTGTGGGTGCATAAATTCTTATCCAACTTTTTCTCAAACAGCATCTTTCTTGAGGAGCTGTTATTATTTCTTAATTAAGTAATGTCGCATTAGATTGAAATTTGCTGATGCTATCAATATAGTTAATTTAAAGCTATATTTATTGCTAATTTCTTTCCAAATGGCTCATTACGCAATTGTGGGTAAATCTCGGGAATTTGAAGTAAAAGAATTACAAGAACCATCATGTATCAGGCTAGGCATGGGTTTAGGCATATTGTAAATATTAAAAAGAGCGCTAACAATTTTAACTGCGGTTTGCAGGCTGTTTAATAGAAATATCAATCAATCATCGTTTAGCGTCCAGAGACCCAGTTCTCCCGAGGTAGGACTTTGTTTTCTTTGCCTTCAATTTTTTGCATCAATATAGGCGATCAGTTGTTTCCATTTCATTTACGATCATTTACGACGCAGGATTTCGGTATACTTCCCATGGATTCTCAGCACCACTTAAGTCCTGCTGGGGACTAGAGGCAATTGTTTTTTGTAATGGCATGGAATAAATTTTGGGGAAACTTTTCACATCCGGACACCCATACTGACGACAACCACCAGTTATAAGCGGTGGGCCTAGCCCTTTGCTCAAAAGCACGCAAGGCAGCGGGGATGCAGTTTTATGTCATGCCCAGGAATATGACTGAAGTTTGAAATTTGAGATGAGTCATGAAATTTATCATGGAAAATTTGCCACAAAAGTAAAAATGGATCGCAATTTTGAGATTTTTTTCACCCTCTATCTCTATTCTAATTTTTTTTCATTTATGTTAAAAAGCTTATGTTACTTGATTTTAATTGAAGAGAGGAAGTTAAATTCCGTAAAAATTTGTGTAAAATGTGGATTAGCTATAAAAATGAATAGCTAAATAAATCTAGAATATCGATTTGATGGTTGTTCTTTTCATGGAACGTTTTTTAAAAGTTTCAAAGTAAAAATTTTTATTTACGAAACCGTGAAGTAAATAGAGGTTGCTGAGATCAGATGTGAACATTGTTTGGAATAACTCAAAAGCTGTAAAAACTTTGCTTCAAATTGTTGCTATTTTTTGAAAGTGAACTAAAGTAGAAGAAAAGTTGTAAAAACTTCATTTTCTTGATTCATTTTAAATACTAAGGCTTAGGTCTTTGATTCTCATAAATAATTTTTAATTTTTTTCAGAAATCTGATACATTCTGAACAACAGCCGAATAATAGTTCAACATTTGTTGGCAAATCTGCCAGAAATTTCAATTCCCAAAACTCAAAACCTGTGGAATTTATTTCACCACCTGCTAACACCACTTCTCTGCAACCTGAATTGATGCCTGTTGACGCTGTTGACGACCAGAGCAGCAGTTCCAGACCATTTTCATCTGATGCACTTAGTAAAATATCACATGACGGCTCACAGTGCATTATATCCTCTTCAACTGATTACATCAGTGCAACTACCACAAAAAATGAATCATCTGCCAGTAAATCGGTCAACGCGATTATAACTTCATCTACATCTTTTACAAGTTTGGTCCCGACAATCACAACATCATCCTGCGTTGAAACCATACCAGGCAAGCAGGAACATTCGGCATCCCAACTTCAACAAATAACTTTCTTACTGAGTAAAGAACGACAACATTGTTCCTCTGAAGCAGAGGCGCCCACAAGTGCAAAGTATGACAATGTCCATCTCGTCTCACCAGCTCACCTTTCCAGTCTTGAAAGTTCCTGCTCTGAAGATTACCATACACCACTAGGCAGTCCCGACGCGAAGAAAACTTCATTCTACTCTCAGGGTGATGTCAATAACTTCAACGTTGGCAACAATAGTGTAGACAATGTAAAAGTTATCCACATTAATGGATCAAATAAATTTGTTAAGGATGAACATGATGAGGATTTTGTTTTCAACAATTGTTTGTGTAAAATGATAGATTTTAAAAATGCAGAAAAAAATTATGAAGTCAGGAGTGATGGCAACGTAATGAAAGGTAAGAATTATTACCTATTTTGATATCAACGATATGAACATTTTTTTCATATTTTATGTTGATATATTTATTTTTCATAGTTTTATATTAGTATATAATATATTTACTTGAGATGTGAAACACCATGCAGTGCCAGCCAAACTCTTGGACGAACACTTCCCGAAAATCATCAGCCAACTGACATCTGACGACAAAAACGTTTTGCTCAGACCTCATGTTAGTTGTTGCCAACATTTTTGCCGTCTACTATTTATTTTTTTATACTGCTTTATTAATTGAAATTTACTTTTTGTAAATGCAAATTATAAAATTAATTTAAATTAAACAAATTTTTTAATGTTACATTTTATTTCAAAAAATTTGTTTGAAACGAATTGTATAAATTAATTGAAAAATGATGGGTACGTGGGCATATACATATAAGTCATAATACATGCATATTTAATAACTTTATATATATATATTATCATTATTATTATTATTATTATTATTATTATTATTATTATTATTAATATTTGTTATTTGGAGTTAGAAAATAAAAGGATTATAGGAAAATGTATAGAGCGCTTTTCAAAAAGTTACTCAAAAGCACTGTCAAATATTATCAACTGTAATATTGTTCACAAAAAGAAATATCGAAATACAAATAAAAAATATAACGGTCTTTAGTTCACATTATCAATTATAATATTGTTCATCAAATAAAATATCAAAATAAAGAAGTCTTTAATTCTTTTTTAAACCGCACAAGTGATATTCCAGGTCTGCAGATAGTGTAAAGAAGATTGTTCCATATCCTCGGTCCATAAACAGCAAAATTTCTCGACACAATTTTCGATTTATTTGCCGGAATTTTTAAATAGTTCTGATCATTTGATCTTAAAACAAAGTTCTGTGAATTCGTATCCTTGAATGCAAACATATTCGACAAGTATTGTGGAGTAGGACCATTCAAACATCTGAACATCAACACACATATTTTGAACACGATCCTTTTTTTCTACCGACAGCCAATGTAAATTCCTGATGATTGGAGAAACATGATCGAACTTCCCCCCATTCATTACCACTTTAGCAGCTCTATTTCGAACAAATTACAACATTTCAACCACATTTCTCGATTTTCCATACAATAGGCTGTTGGACTGTTGCAGTAGCTCTATCGTGAATGAACAAACGAATGGATCAACGCTACCATGGTCGCTTTGTTTAAATACTTTTTTACTTGCCGTAATTGACGAAATTGAAACAAACACGACTTGACCATACGCCTAGTGTGTTCTTGCATAGATAAATTGGTATCTATCGTAAACCCAAGAATCGTTGCTGTTTCTTCAAATTTAATAACAGAATCATCAATCTTTAGTGACTATACGTATTTATCGGCAGTAACTTGGTTTTGTCTTTGTTTAATTTTATACCATTTTGGGCCATCTAAGTGTTAATTGCAGAGAGAGCATCTTTCAGTCTGTTAGCTAGCTAAGACTTCAAACATTTCAAATGATGCACTCGACATTAAATGTATGTATTATATATCATCCGCATAAGCATAACTTCTCATATCATAGCTCTCAGTAACATCAAAAACATCAGCAGTATAAAGCAAGAAAAGAAATGGGCCCAAAACTAATCCCTGAGATACCCCTGTTAACATTTTTTCTTTATTAAAATATTCATTTTGAAAAAATATTTGCTTTATTCTGCCATGCAAATAAGAATCAAAAAATTTCAACACTGTACCTGATATTCCATAACTTAAAGACAAAACAAAAAAACGCCATTTAATCAAGGTTTCTTTAATTAAAAGATTAATAATTATTTCTAACGATTTATTGGAAAAAACTTAGACTCAGAAGTAGCTGTACGTAAGTAATATTATTAAATATTTTTATATAAAAACAAGTAAAATTATCATTTTTATTATCCTTTATTGAAATTGCAAATCCGTAACATTTACATAAAGTGTCTTAAATATATAGAAAATATAAACACAAACTGTTTAAATCAAAAATGAACACAAATGTCGTCCCCACTAATAATGACATTGTCATAATTGTCGTCGCAATATTGGCAATATTATCATCATCGTCATCCCTAACATCATTATTAGCATCATCGACGTCATCATCTTCACCATCATCGCAGAAATCAGCTTCGCTGAAATTATCATCGCTGAAATCAGCTTCGTTGGAATCAGCTTCGTTGAAATAAGCTTCGTTGAAATCAGCTTCGCTGAAATTATCATCGCTGAAATCAGCTTCGTTGAAATAAGCTTCGTTGAAATCAGCTTCGCTGAAATTATCATAGCTGAAATCAGCTTCGCTGAAATCAGCTTCGTTTTCTCTGACAACCACCGCATTAGTATATTATGATCAACGCAATCAAATGCTGCACTCATATCAAGCAATGACACCTACTTCGAATCAGATACATTAAACAGAGTTGATAATACCTTTTAATATTTGTTTTGATACTACTCTTTCAACAATCTTTGCAACAAATGCTAAATTTGAAAAAGGCCGAAAGTTCCGAAGGTTATTTGCTTCAGATAATGGCTGCTTCGGCAACGGTATAACTATTGCTTATTTATAAATTGATGGGTAACTTCCAGTTTTCTAACACATGTTAATCAAATCAGTTATAATATATTAATATTTATATAGCACTTTTTAAAATATAATTTCAAAAGTTCTGAATGAGCTGAAGCATGGATTTCGATCTGTGCGGTAAATGCGGTAATCTAACCTCGCATTCAAAAATGCACTCTGCAATTTTACGGTTACAAAAATGCTTTAGTAATAATTTCAAAGGAAACATAGATCTATAGATAAAGAATTGTTGTTAATGGTATATTTAACATAACATAAAATACCAACAAAGATTTTTATAATGATCCAAGAAGTCCGAGTAACAGGACCGGACCACTCTGAGATTTCAATATCCTATTTTTGCCAAGTGTGCTTTGAAGTTATTAGTTGTTTCTGCATATATTATTTCATCTCCTAGTTTGTTTAGCTCATTGACTACTCTACAGTCGAAAAATTTTTGCTTCATCGTCCTTAAGCTTTTTTTGAATAACTTACATTTATGCCCTCTTTTTTCACTTTTTAACCTTAGTTTATTGTTTAGCTTCAGCTCAAAAAATGTTGCTGATTTCAAATTCTTTTTTATAGTGATGATTTTATATGTCTGAATCAAATCTTCTTTTGTTCTTTTTTTCTAATGTTGTCAAACAACAAACTTTCAATATGTTCTCATGACACACCTTGACTCTTTTTGATCATTCTCGTTGCCCTTCCTTGAATTTTCTCAAGCGTATATTTGTCCTTTTGCAAATCTGGATTCCAAGCTAAACAACACAGTACACTAACTTAGGTTGGACCTGTGCCCTATGCAGCTTTAACGTGACAATCAAATCTCTGCTTTCTACTCTTCTTTTTATTCCCTGATCAATATCGTTAATGTAAATTACAAATAGCAGAGGTCCTAATATTGATCCTTAAGGAACCCACTTCTAACATTGCTGCAGCTTGAAAAATTTTCACCAATACCAACTTTTTGCCCTATGCATTATTAAATTTATAAGTCAGCTTATAGAACTTATAGATAGTTAAAATTTTTTAAGAAAAAAATATCGAATGACGAAACTACACATGAAAAATTATAGCAAGGTTAATTTTATTTGAAGGGTTTTTGCATAAGTATTTTACAGCACAGAATAACTATCGTTGTTTTTTACACATTAAAATTAACTTTTGTTCTTTTCAGCCATCTTCTCTTATTCATTTTTCTCCAACATTGAAATCAAAGACCAGTGATTCAAATAAAGGTACATATTTAATTTGTTAACTGATGCATTGTTGAATATATTTATGAAAAATATGAAAACACTTGTTTTTAATTTTTAACAAGTTTATATTTTACAATATGCGTAGTTATATATTTTTTTAAATTTTTTTACAGTTAAGAAAAATATATTATTAAAAATTAAATTGCTTATTTCTTGCCTGTATTTCTTTCTTTTCACAATTCATCTATGAGAAGTTTTATATAGACAATTGAAATGTCGAAAACGTTCAGGGGTTGAGTTTAAGATGCGAATTTTTTTAATGAAAAATTCACAATGAGAACTGAAATTTTTTGGTTTTAAAAATTGAGGTTTTGCTTCAAAATACAACTAATGGAATGTTACATTGCTCATTAAATGTCATATTGAATGGTTTTCATTATTGTTCATAATATTGCTCTTTTAATTCAAAACTGTTTTAGATATTAATAAAAGGTTGAAAGGATTTTTTTAAATCATTTGAATTCATTTAAAAAGATATGAAAAATCATAAAACGGAAATATTATCTTTGTCAGTGACTGCTTCAGCAAATGAGGAAAAGCGTCTTCCAGCAACATTCTCTAACAAACAACGAATCACAACATCAACATCATCATCATCATCAACAACAACAACATGGAAAACATTTGTTACGTCAACAACTACGCCGTCCGTTCTTTCATTACCTTCAAATCACCAGCAGGAGGAACTGATTGACAAGAATCCAATCTCCTTGACAACTGTGACGGACGCATTCATGCAGCAACAACACCAAAAACAGCAGCAACAACCGCAGCAACCAGCATCAACACACCATCAAATAACAACATGCATTGTTTCGCCGATCAAAGTTTCTCATGAACACACCACCACCTCTCATCAAAATGCAGACAAAAACACGAATGTTTTCCCTAGTGATGACAATAATAGCATTAATTTTATTGGCAATTCAAATGACTTTAATTCTGAAAATGACAATACTGGATGCTCCTTCAAAAGCATAGGAAAAACTATTTCCCCAAGACCATCTTCATTATCTTTATCATCATCTTTTTATTCATCAGCACTTTGTTTATCATCATCATCATCATCATCATCATGCCAGCAAGCAGATGTTTTCAATGCAAGTAGGAACAACAATGCCAAGCCTCATGAGAAAGAAAGAAAAGTAGTGAACAGCACAAATAGCAGCAGTATGTTCTCAAAAGGTAGAGTGCTTGATTTCTACAACACCAACTTTTATGGTTCCATCAATTTCAACAGCATGATTGATCCAAATGAAATTTTCAATGATAACAATAACATTGCCTCTATTGTTGGCTCAGATGTGGAAGGATTGGAAGAAAAAAATTGCCAGTTACCGTTATCGACGGTTCCACCATCTTCATCGTATTCGTTGTTATCTTCACCATCATTATTATCACCACCATCATCCATATCTCACTCACTTCATGAGCCACACAAGCCCGTGGCAACTACCACCACAAAACTCCATGACATGCAAACTGATGTTAGATATGATTGCGAAAGACAAACAAGCATCAAATGTTATCAGTGCAGCGTCCCACTAGAACGAAATTTTTTCACCAACATTCAAAATGTTTGCAGCAACAATGAAAGTACCAACGTTAATGTCAGCAATAATTTATTCATTTATTCAGTATCATTTTTGCCGCCTGCGTGCAACCCGCCCCTGTACTACCATCAAATTCCACCACATCACTTCAATCAGCAGAGTATGCATCAACCACACGTCAACAAACAACAACTACAACTGCAACAAAAGCAAAACTCATCTCAAAATTTGTTTGCACAACCAACATATCCTGCTTATTATCATCCAGTCAATTATCTGTCTGCGCAGTTGCAACAGCAACCATTGATACAACAACCTCCACAGTTTTATCAACCAACACAACTTTGGCAGCATCAAAATCTTTTTCCAACCTTTCCACTTGCGAACAATTCTTTATGTAACGACACCATCAACAAAAGTAGCCACTTGAATACAACATCATACAAATCTAACAATTTTCATAATTCACTTGATTTTATAACTTCACCCAACATTGTAACACATAATAATAATAATAATTCAGAGATTAAAGAACATCAAAGTTTCAACAATATTTTAATGCCAAATTTGTCAACTAATAGACATTTTAATAATGGCCACGACATTTCAACAAATTTTCCTGAACAGCGTAACAACTTTCAAAGCGCTGTGTTGCAGAACCAACAGTTTGTCAATCAGCAACAAAACATCCATCTACAGCAGCCGCAACAGCATATACTTGATTCTCCTACACCTCGCTTCAATCATCTTAACCATCATCACGAAACTACTTACGTTGAACACGTCAACAACTTCCAACAGCAGCTTCAGTTTTGTGATCCAGCTCTGAACATCATTGAAGGCATGTCTCCAGCTGTGGCGGGGATTAAAATATTGACATGTTCCAACTGCGGTAGGATGGGTCACCTTGCCATCAACTGCTCCGAACTAACTATTGACGTCGAGCTCAAAACTGGTTACTATTTTCTTATTTGTGATTTGTAGTGTGGTTTCATTTATTTTTTTATTTAATTATTTAATGACAAACTGACCAGAGGGCCATAACAGACCACTTATCTAGTCAGAAAAAAGAAGAAATAGCTTCCAAAAGAATAAACACACGTCAATGAATTAAATCTAAATTACAAGATATTAACAGAAATCACCGCATAATAATACAAATAATGAATGAGGCAACATAACAATATTGAAGATAAATACGTAATAACTGTAAGATTACAATGGAATTTGATATGTTTATTTATGTACAAGAGTAAATTTTTAACATGTAACAAATAACTTTGTTGGTGTAATAAAAAAATTTAGTTTGATGGCTATAATTAATGGGTGAATGACAATGGTAGCTTGGTGAAAATGTTAATCGACAAAATTGGATAAGCACATAATACGAAAAGATAATAATTCTCAATCTGACAATATCAAGATTATATTCAAAAATTTATTTAAGTCAATAGATAGTAGATGATTTCTGAAAATTGTAAGCGAAGCTGAGGAAACCACTTCTGCCGGCAAAGCGTTCCATACACGGACAATCCTGTTACAGTAGAAATATTTTGTTGCATTGTCGCTAGCATTGAAATCCTGCAATCGGCATTGATGATGATCACGAGTTGACAATTCTATTGAAATGTACAATTTTGGGCAGTACGGCGTAAAAGCAAACATTTTACCATTTCGTCATTGTTAGTTTTGTACAGTCACACAGAGGGCCTTTACAAATATTTTATAAATGCAAGTTAAGTTAATAAACACACACAATGACACAACACACACACTTGTTTTTTTTATTTTTAACTTTTATGTGTGACATCAAACACAGGAGATCAAGAAAGTATGTGCAAACGACGTTATCTAAATTGAGCAACATAAATGAAGAACCAACATTTGACCAAAGTCAAATTAGTTTTTAAAATAAAACACTACTTAATGTTACATTTTGAACCAAACAAAATTAATAAGTATATTATAACCTTTATAAATTCATACAAAATTTAAGAAAAGAGTTCGTTTAATTTGAGTGAAAAATAAAGACAATATAACTTCTAAACTCTGCTGGGATCTTATTATACTACTACTATCTCGTCTGACTGAGGGTGGAGAGGAGTTATTCTTGTCTTCTTTATACTCAGTAATTGACACAGCTTACCAAGCAGTTGTGACTCGAAGTTTCGACCTTGGTCTGAATGCAACTCAATGGGAATACCATACCGACTGATCCAGTTCATTACGATTTTTCAGCGACGGTACAAGCCTTCTGATTTGGTAACGGATACACTTCCGGCCAGTTGCTAAAATATTCCGCTACAACCAGAATGTAACGGTTTCCATCATTTGATTCAGGAATTAGTCCGGCAACGTCGATAGTAATTCTTTCGAAGAGCACACCAACATTATAGATTTGCATTTTTTTCTCGTAACCTCTTTTTGGGACCTTTCACTGCAGCGCACGTACTACATTTTTAACACCAACTTTTCACATCTTCCCGAGCGTTAATCCAGTAGAACCTCTCACATATTCTGTCAAGCGTTTCATTAACTTCAAGATGTCCTCCTGGTTTTATTCATAAGTACCACAATCTGCATGCGATGTTTCAATCTATCTATTGATTCCCATTTCCGTTTAAGCAATCCATCTTCTAAATGCAAGGAGTCCCACTGTGCTCAGTAGTTTTTCAACGACCAACCGAACTCAGATATATCTTGCCATTCAGGTCGCTGGTCAATGACGTATTGTAAGTCTTTGTCTGCAGATTGCGCGCTTGCCAGTTCTTTCGGTGTCTATCATGTATTGTAATTTTCCGTACATCTTCTGTTTGTACTTTCTCTTCCAGTCAAGGTCGACGAGAAAAGCATCGGCATTGTTTTTGGAGGTTCCTTTACGGTACATAATTTTAAAGTCATACATTTGTAATCGTTTTAACCATCGTGCCACCTGTTCTTCTGGATCTTTGAAATTGAGAAACTACTTGCTGCATGATCCGTTCGAAGAAAAAAATTTTGTTCGTAGAGGTACTTGTGGAAATGTTTTGTTGCCATGACCATCGCTAACAACACTTTTCTAGTGACTTTTCTAGTTCAGGCATTGTAAGACTTTTGTCGTAACAGGCCAAAACCTTCTCTACTCCGTCAACATATTGTGACAAAACCGTTCCAATTCCATAGTTGTTTGCATCCCTATCTAACACAAATGGTTTACCTCGGATTGGATATGCTAACAAGAGGCTTCATTTAATTCATTTTTTAGTCGTTCAAAAGCTACTTCACATAACTCATTCCAATCAAACGCTAGATCATTTTCCGTGAGTTGATGTAGTGGTCGTGCAACTTTTGCAAAATTCTTTACGAAACGTCGATAGTATATAGCTAATCCGAGGAAACTGTGCAAATCATTTTTATCTTTCAGACTTGGCCAATTTTTTACTATTTCTACTTTACTTTAATTTCTACGTCGTCGTTTGCTCAACCAGGTAGAATTGGTAGTCGTATTGAATTTGCAGTCTAGAGACATTAATCACGGTACTAGGGGCGTCAATTTTACCAGCCAACTTCTGCCCCGCGAAATTGGTTCTCATTTCCCGCCTCCGTTTGTGCCATGTTGCTGCACTATGACGACAGTAATTGTTTCTAGGGCGTTGTTTACAATTTCGTCGTAGATGTCCTTTTTTTCCACAATTCCAGGATTTTAGCGCACCATAATCCTGGCCCTTCTGTTCTAGAACCATCCTTTAACATGAACATTCTTCTCAAATTTGGCGCAGTTTTACGTCAGTCTTTGAAGATTCATCAGCTGGAATTTTTTGCATTTGAACATTTGAAAAAAGTCAGCTTACAACTTTTGTTCAGAACAACCGTATATAATGCACCACAGTTGGATTCAGACAACGTTGACGGGGGGCCAAAACAAGATTTGAGGGGGTGTCAAAAGTTTCAAATTTTGGTAGTTTAACATTTTTTATGGCGCAAATTGTTGCATAAAACGATGTTATCGTATGTAAAAACTGAATTTTACCGAGTTTTAATAAAAATTTAAAAAACTGCTCAAAACGAGGAACCAAAATCCGCCACTGTAATGCACTGCTTTTATTCTACTTGATCTTTCTTGTAATCTATGCATGCTGTCTTAATTACAGTAACCAGAAAAATTTGCGAGTTTCAGCTGTTTTAGAAAAAAGTAGTTGCAGTTTCAATTATAGCAAAATTTAAAATGTGTCTTATTATCGACAAAGCATCATTTCATTAGTAAGACTGCATTATAATCAATTAAGACATATATTTTGAATAGCTATTGTTTAGTCATGATCATGCTCGATTTTTTTCTAAACTTAACGAAGATATTAGTAACGGATGGAATGTAAATTTAAATGCATTTACAAATATGATATACAATGTATATTATATAAAAAACATTGGTTTAAATGAAAAATATATTGCGATTTCAGAATCCTACCGTCTAAATTTGTTTCCAATGGACAGCAATGCAAATGAATGATGGAAAATGCAACAGGCATCGACTCAGGCGTCTATCAGATTTTACAAAATTTTAATTGTACATAAACTTCCGTGTGTAATCAACGAACTGAGCTTGATGAAGTCATGTTAGGTTATTTCAAACAAATAATTTTTTAAATATCATGATCAGCTTTCTAATTAAACATTAAAGTTTTTTTTTATTTTTCCCTCTAACTTGAAAGAATTATTTATATAGGTTGAGAATACTTTTGTTATCT